TTACCAATACTTTTGTCTCATCCTTGATGGTGGGCATAACTGTTTGTGTCCCAGAGTAGAATCTACAGGCCCTTTCCTTTAAAGCCTTTGGAATTTACATAACCCTGCAATTGTAGCAATGCAAAATGTGGCTCTGGTTACAATAACAAGGGTTTAGGGCACACAGGGAGAGATTGCAGCAGCAAAGGCATAAAAGTAAAACAAAACAAAACTCTACATGCTGTTTTAATTTTCAGCAGCCATGTGAGAACTGTCCTGCAGTTCCTGGCTATAAATAAATCTCTGCCATCATAGGAAGACAAAAACCAAAACAGTTCACATTCCTTCCAAATTTTCTTAAGATTATAAAAAATAAAGGAATGGTAAATATTTCAAATGTAGAGTGTGTCTTTGCTAAGGAATGTCAAATTATTACTCAAGGGGGTTGATATTTGCATTAAGTAAAGAAATTTGGCATTAAACCTCTCTTTCCCTGCTCCATCTCTGCCAGCTCTTTTAAGAAAACCACTTAGGGCTGCATATAGAAAGTTTGCCAGGGAATGCTTCTTAGAACTCCATGCATTCAGTGCCTTAGTGTCAGCTGAGGCAAGAACTTCCTTTGAGATGAATGAGCATTACACAGAAGTATGACTGTTGCTTCTTGTCAGATGCTACAACCTAGCTCTTTTACATGGTGTGTTAGAAAGGTGAAGATGAGGATCACTTCATTGCATAGTGAAATGCTGTGGCACTGATAGATGTAGATGTGAATACAGAATCAAACAATGCTCATACCAAAAGTATACTATAAGAAGAAGCACTTACTTACTGCTTGATAAGTAAGATTAGAGTTATTACATGTGGTCAAACAAAGATTTGGTCTCCTGTACAAATCCAGTTTTTTCATCAGAATGAAAAATTTTTACAATTGCAAGTGTTGTAGGACAAGCTACCTCACTTTTAGACTCAGGGTTGAGAAGATGTAATACCATGTGAATTGAATGACTAAAAATAGCACTTCAGGGAATATAAGGACAGCCTGAATCATGAAATGATAACAAGGACATGAATGGAGATAACCTTTAGCAGAGAGCCCTAGAGTAAACAGGCCCACATGAGGGTTTCTGTACATTGAGGTGAAAAGATTTTGTTGAAACTTCTTATAAGGTAGTGATGCCTTAAGTTTTAGCCAGTCTAAGGCAACAGCCTAAGTTGATGAAGTCCCAAGCAGTAAGACTGGAGACTGTGAAAGAAATATCAACATCAACAAACTGGGAAGGAATTGTGGTATACAGGGAAACTGATTTAAATTGACCCTGAGCTGTGATATTGATTTGAATGGGCATGAGGTCTCCCAGGACAGTATATCTCTGAATTTCTGAGTGGTCCCTAAAAACACAGGAAGCAAAGCTGCAGCAGAGGAGGAGTATGATGTTGCTGTGAAGTGGTTCTCCAATTATAGGATCTGTTTCACACTACCTCATCATGGTAATGGACCACAAGACATTGTGAGAAATTGGGGAAATAAAGCAAAACTTTAGTGAATGTCTGTTATAGATAAAAAAAAAAAAAAAGAGAAAAGGAAATCTTTTTCAGACAACTGAAGGAGGCTCATGATCCCCTCAGTTTCTGCTGGAAGGGCAATACCACAGAGCACAAGAAATCCAGGAGGTTTTTGAAGTGATGACAATTTCCTAACACAGATAGTGGTTGAGCTGAAGAAAAGACTCACTCTACTGGACCTGGCATTTACAAACAAGGAAGAACAGACTAGGAGTGTGAAAGGGTAGCTTAGGCTGCAGTGACCATGGGATGGCAGAGTTAGGATACTGAGAGGAGGAAGCAGTACAAAAACCAAGATAGCAACATTAGAATTCAGGAGAGCAGACTGTGGCCTGATCAGGGACCTCCTTGAAAGAATTCCACCAGACATGGCCCTGGGAAGAAGAGAGGCCCATGAGAGTCCAGTGATTTTCAAGGAACATGTCTTTTAAACTCAAGTTCATAGTGATGAGCAGGGAATGAAACAAAGGTGTCAGGAGGCATGTGTAGGTAAGCAAAGAGCTTCTAACTAAATATAAAAGGAATTTTACAAGAGGCAGGAATATGGTCAGATGACTTGGAAGGCATATAGAGTCACTATCTGAATGTGTGGGAATGGGATAAGGAAAACCAAGACCTACCTGGCCTTGAGTCTGCTAAGGGACACACAGGACAACTAAAAGGTTGTCTGAAGGGAGAATGATTGCAAAAGAAAGAAGAGGGAAAAATTATACCAAGTGTTGAATAGTCTAGGGAACCTGGTGGCAAAGGACACAAAAAAGGATGAGATGCTCAAGTCTTCTTCACTGTAATCTTCACTGGAAGAACTCGCCTTGAGAAATTCTATGCCTGTCAGACCTGTCAGCTACAAGGTATGGAGTAAGGAACACTCACTCTTGATTAATAAAAATTGGATTAGGGAATATTTAACTGAACTGTACAAATAAACAAGTAAGTCCCTGGTACCTAATGGGAACTGCCCAGAAATGCTGAGGGAGCTGTTTAATGTCAATGTGAAGCCACTATTGATTAGCTTTGAAAGGTTATAGCCACTGGGGGAGATTCCTGAGGACAGGAAGAAAGCAGTTGTTATTTTTATCTTCAAGAGGGACAAGAAAGGTTGTCTGGACAGGATGGGGAGCCTCATCTCAATCCCTAGAAAGGAATACACCATCCTAGAAACCAATTCCAAACATATGAAGGACAAGAATATGACCAGAAGTACTCAGCACAAATCCATAAGGAGAAATCATTCCTGACCATCCTAATAGCCTTCTATGATGAGATAGGGAGAGACTGGTAGATGCTGTTTATCTTGACTTTAATAAGGCTTTTGACATTTTTCCATAATTTCCTTATTGACAAACTGATGAACTATGGGCTAGATAAGTGATTAGTGTCATGGCTTAGTAGCTAGCTGAGCTGCTGGGCTAGAAAGGTTGTGGTCAGCAGCAAACAGACCAGCTGCAGGACACACAAATAGATTATCACAGGTTTAGTTCTGGGATACAAACTGTTTAACATCTTCATTAATGACCTGCGTGATGGGACTGACTGTACCTTAAGCAAGTTCGCTGACAACACAAAACTGGGAAGAAAATGAATAGACCAGTTGGCTATACTGCTGTTTGGAGGCATCTCAATAGGAATCTCATGGAATTCAACAAAGAAAAATACCAAGTCCTTTTCCTGAGGAGGAAAAGCCTCATACATCAGTACAGGCTGAGGCCAACCAGTTGGAAAACAGTCTTGTGCAAAAGTACCCAGAGTTCTGGTAGGCAACAATTTCAACATGAGTCTGAACTGTAGCACTGTGGCAGACAACAGCCTTGGATAAGATTAAGAAAAGCTGACAAATGATCTTTTCTCTCTGCTCAACAATTGGTGGGACACATCTGGAATGTTGTGTCCAGCTCTGGGGGTCTGCAGGGCAAAAAATATATGGAGAGAGTGCAATAAAGGGCTGCAAAGGTGGTTAAAGGACTGGTATATCTGACATAGAAGGAGAGAATGAGAGATACTTATCAGTATATATGAATACTTGTTGATGTGTAAAGAAGATGGAGCCAAACACTTCTCTGTGGTGCTCAGTGGCAGGATGAGAGTTGATAGGCACAAATTGAAACATAGGGAATTCCATTTAAACATAAGAAAAATAATTTAATGTGTTCATGATCAAAACACTGAAACAAATTGCTAAAAGACATTGTGCAGGCTCCATATGTGGAGATACTCAAAACCAGACTGGATGGGGCTCCAGGCAACCTTCTCTAGTTGACTCCTCTTTGAGCACAAGTTTTGGAGGAGATGATTGCCAGAGGTCTCATCCAGTCTTAACTGTTCTGTGCTCTGATACCTATTTTTTTCTTATGGTTGAGTCAAAGCAGCTCAAGAATTGTAGTCATAGCTGGCACTTACTATTTTGGTCCAACTACTATTTTGATGGACTGTCCCACATCTTCTTAAAATAAGTGACAGCAGAGCAAAAATCAGGAATTGTGGTAGAAGGTTTTTGGGGAGTGGGGAATTGCTTCCTGTACTATATACAGTTTGAGGTCGGGTAGAGCACTCTCTTGTGATTCTAATGTGGTCTCTTTCACCAGTATCAATCACTTATAGGGGGGTGGGGAGAAGAGAGAGAGACAGAGAGGCGTGAATTTGGCTAATGTTGATAGACCTGTGTTAAAGTTGATACTGTTACTTCATGGGGTTAATGAAGGAAAAATAAAGCCCTGTTTTTCTGTTATCCCCCAAAGACCACAGTTTCGATGAATAACCTTAAGGCACACATGGAGAAACTGACAATTCTAATGATGTTTCTCCTAAAAGAGTTTAGTTAAATACCATGGGAAGCAAACAAGGAAAAGGTCACCTTAATGGTATTTCCTAGAGTGGCAGTACAGCAGCATTTGTGGAATGTCCTAGAGCACACTCATTTGACTTTAATAAAAACTAATGAAAAAACCCAACAACAAGAAAATTAGCTGAATGATAAAAGCAAATAATTAAAACCAGATTTCCTTATAAATCCTGGAAATCATCTATTTACAGCATCTGATAGAAAGAAGACAATGCCAATAGTTCTGTACCACCTGAAAAATATCTTTTGTATGTTAATTATGCTATGTGCAGAAAAAAAGGTGTTTCTTTTACTTTATCAATAATCACTTATGATCCCTATACTCAAAGTTAATGTAAGAGTAACAAATCAATTTGTCCAAGTGCAGTTGCAATCAGTGTTGAAGATAGAGTGGAAAGTGTGAGATATTCATCTTGGATTTGATTGTAGCATATATTAAGAGCACTGCTGAGTGCTTCAGTGAAGAAGACAAGTCCTGCATTGAAAATAAAAGAGACCATATAGGAACCTCTGTACATATTTCTTCTGTAATTTCATTTGAAAGTGAAAACACATTGGAGATGCATTTTATATTGAGAGAAAGCTAAAAAGAGCTATTTATTTGCAATTGTTTCTCTAGACAACCATCTCTGCAGTCGAAGCAGCTGTAGTAATTTGTCTGAAGGGGGTTCTTCAAACACAGTGAGGACCTGAACTGAACAGTGACCTACAGAGAGAGAGAAGATCGAGTCAGAAACTACACAGATCATCCAGGTTAGTACTAATTTGCATATGGGGAATGGGAGAGGAACAGAATACCATAAAAAACCATTTAGCTATAATTTTGTTTTCTTAAACATGTATGATGTGTCCTACATTCACCAGGCAAGAGGAACCTTCTGCATACTGCAAGGTGGTAAGATGGTTTTTCAACTTTAGAGCAAAGTTAACACAAACAGGGCCTCACAAGCCCCAGTAATGGAAAAACAAAGTGTGTTTAGAAGCAGCACATATCCTAATGGCATAAAAATTGTAACCTCCAATCCCATCTGTGTTTTCACCCCATCACCATTTCAGCAGAACAGAACTGGTATCTAGGCTGTACTACAAGAGTTAGCCATCCCATAACTCTGCCTGAGGACCAACATATTAACTTGGTTTTGATTATAATTATAGTTTAAACAGAGGCATTTCTTGTAAGTTAGTAAATAGACTTATTGGAAATGGTAGTTTAGTAATGTTCTTTACTTTATGTTCCTTCCTTCCTTCCTTCCTTCCTTCCTTCCTTCCTTCCTTCCTTCCTTCCTTCCTTCCTTCCTTCCTTCCTTCCTTCCTCCCTCCCTCCCTCCCTCCCTCCCTCCCTCCCTGAATACTTCAGTGTTTTGATCTATTAAGAATTTGTGCATCCAATTTGTCCATGAAGCCTAATTACCCCTAGTGTCTCATGATTTTCAGTATCCTTTCTATTTTTTTCTTGTAGACTTGCAACAGTCATTTACAGAGAAAAAATAATGTGAAACCTTTTCTTCCCATGGTGTTTGCACTTTATGTGAAGCAACGCTGTGAAGTCTCGTGACCCAGTTCCCAACTGACACCAGCTCTGCAGCAGTATTTACATGAGTGTAATGTGAGTGTAGAGTGTGGCTGAGTTAAGAAGGTGCCTGATGTGAATGAGCAGGGCAGTGGTAAATCAGTGGTCAGGGCTCAAGCTCCATCGTCCTTCTGATGAACTGAGCAGTAAGTTTCCTGTGGTTGTCTCCATAGGCATGACACTGTCTCTCTGTCAGTATCCTAAATAGTTTCCACAGCTGTTAGAACCTCACAGACACCAATACAAAAAAAAAAAAAATACAAGTGCTAAATCCAGATTCTGTCACATGAAACAAAATATGATGTTTGGCTTACAGCTCCAGGTTTCTGTATGTGTATGGTTATGTATTCAAAAGATACAGATTTGCTCCCCATAATTTTAAACATTATTTTACATCTTTGAAGTCTTTTGAAAAACTGAGTAATTAATTACAACCCTCTAGGTGACCAGGTTCTTCTCTGGCATGTGCAGTGATCCAGGAGCAAACAATGGTTTGAGGGGCTCAGTCTCTGTGCATGAACATCTTGCATAGAATCAGGGCCACTACCTAGTTAAATATGTGCTGCTCTCCTGGCATACACCAAGTTTCCCTCCGGCTCAGACTGCCAGGATGGAATTAAAGCTTGCAGAACCTGGGTGTGCCCCTCTTCACTCAACTGCTTCACAGAGAAAGAAATGTATTTTTTGTCTCCAGAGCAACTCTGCCTTCTGGTAAACACACATGTACTACTTAGCACCTCACTGGAGCATGGGTGCTCCGCATTCCCTGTAAAATGAACCCTCTTGCCAAATACAACAAAGACAGTTTTCTTCTCTCTTGCCCTCACCCTCACAGTCAAACAGATTTCCAAGAAAGCAAGTCAGCATCCTTTGCCTAGAAGTAAGGAGCCACCTTTCCGTAGGAACATTGTCCCACTTCCAGGACTCCTAAGCATACAGGAATTCCTGTAAAGAAGGTCAAATATCCTTCGGGAAAGTGTGTGTCACAAAGTAGGACAGATTTCATGTGATGAAAATTATATTTAAGAAAAATCAGGGCAGGTTAGGAGTGGTGTAATAGAGGGAGGGCAAAAAACCCCAAAGCAAAACAAACAAAAACCCAAACCCAAGCGAGAATAAAACACCAAAGCCCCCAAAGCCAAAATAAAGAGCTTGGCTATCAAATACTGAAACTAATGTCATTTGCAATTAATTGCTATTATAAGGTCAACTAACTTGCTAATTGATTTCTGCTTCTTACTAGGGAATCAGTGCTGCTGATTAGTTTGCATGTAAACTTCCAAGAACATGAGTAATCAGAGTTTGGCAAGACACACCAACTGAAACTAATTCTTCTAGGTCTTCTGCAAAGAACACACAGTAAACAAATGTTGTCCCCTGTGCAGCATCACTGATAGAACCAGGCCTTTTTGCTCCAGCTCCTTTTTTTTTTTTTTTCCACTGAGATGCTACAAAGAACTTAAAAGCATGCAGAACTGGGTATATTGAAAAAAATTTCAAAGGAGAAAAGTGAGTTTTCTTGGTAGAATAGGAGCAGTGGGACAACTCAGTCACCAATTCTGCAAAAATGAGGATATTTAGCTGGAGTTCCCTGCCTGCTGAGCAGCTGTTTCAGGATCCAATAGTAGCCAAGTATCATTTTAAAAATCCCAAGGCTGTTCTATTGGCACTAGGGTCTTAACATGCCTCTGTCAGCTTATAGACCACAGAGTTACAAGAGCAGTTTAAAAACTGACATTACTGTTTCACTTTGGTTTTGTGTCAACCTGTAGTCAACCAGACTAAAGGATCTAGCCTAGATCCTGTATCAGAATAAGAAGGGGAAATAGCCTTTCCCTTTCAATTTCTCTGTTCCTTTGACAGATACCACTTTGATTTTTCCTGGAAGTCACTGAGATCTCTGTGTTCATAGCTGGAGACTAACTTTACTTCTGACTGTATTAATGCCCTTTTCTTGGTTGGAATAAAACATGTTGATCTAGATCATTGCTAATTAAACGATGGTCAATACAACATCTGGTATTTCCTAATCACTTCCAAAAAGGCCCCCAAGTCCCTCCCCTCTATGAAGCTAAATAAGTCCACATGCATATATCAGGGGAATAAAAAGGAAAACAACCCCTGATCATTCAGAGCCCAGATTCTATTAGTGGAAATTTATGTTGCAGTGCAGCTTAATCAGCTTAGATTCTTTTTCAAAAAGGCAAAAAATCCTTCAAATGAAAAACATTGAAGTATGTCATTAAGCAGATAATTATTGGAACATCTGTCTAGGGACAAGCCCACGCCAGCCACCTTAGTTCAGGTATTTAATAAAATGTAGAAAACAACAGATTCATGATAATCACCTGCCTGCATACTGCATCTTTCTGTAAGATGACCGTTTGGTAGAACAGAGATTTTTAAAATAGAAATTATTCCTCTGGAAGATGGGAAAATATATACAGAATAAAAGGAAGCAATCAAAAATGATGAGGAAGGCAGAGGAAGATTGCAATTAGAGGGCACAAATCAGTGGCCTCTAATTTGCTAAATGAAATTCAGCTGAACAACTGTTTTTCTAAAGCTCTGGTCTCTGCAAGATATCATGAAGAAATTCAAAATGGTCATAAGGTGTTAGGTATGAACATAACACAAATTTCTCCAACGGAGGCAAATGAAGCCATGATGAAGTTGCTGACTACAAATATTTACAGTTGTCAGGGACTGGTAACTACCTTTAATTGCCTACAGTTGATCAGAGTTTTAGTGGCAGGAAATTTAATCTAATTCTGGCTGATTCTGACTCTTTTGCCTTCAGGGATGTGGGTTTGAGTTGGGCTGTTATCTGCAAATGGAGTTCACTTTGAAGATGTTTGAGATATACCAAGCAAAACTACAAGGAGAAAAGAAACAACTCCTGTAAAAGTTTAATTTTTTTTCTTTTTATTTCCAGTTGAGGTAAAGATGACTCACTTTCCAAAAGCTCATAAGATGCTTCTTTTTGAAGAGTAAATGCCTTTCCTCTTTCCATAGCTGTTATCCAAGATGCAGCAAATGCTGATATTTTCTCTTTTCTTTTCTTTTCTTTTCTTTTCTTTTCTTTTCTTTTCTTTTCTTTTCTTTTCTTCTCTTCTCTTCTCTTCTCGCTCTCTTTTTCATGTTCTTCTGCCAGTACACAACTTGTGCAAACCGCTCACTACATCTTAACCAATACAGGGGCAAGTATTTAACAGGCTTGAGCAGCCAATAAAAGACAAGGAGCAGTAAACAACACAGAAAAAACACAAGGGAAAAAATGAAAATTGAAACGTGATGCCTCCAGGAAGGTCCACCAACATCTAACTATGATGGATACAGATTTGAATGCAGTTTTAGTTGACTTAAATTTTGTGGTGTAGATCATTCTATGAAAGGGAAACCCAACCTTTTTATTTAAGAACAATTAGTAGAAGTAGCTTGATAACTTTGATCAAACTTGATAATTTGATTTGTTATCAAGTACCTTGATGACATTGATTTCAGGCATTTTCAAGAAATTGTCTTCATACTGAATGCCATAACTTCCATTAACTACATAACTTTTACATTTCTGATAACGTCTAGTTCCTAAGAACAAATTTATTTATTTATTCCTAACCATTTTTTAAACTGAGAAAATAAACTCACCAAAAAGAAATGCTTGTGCTGGGTTTGCAGTGGCATCTTACAAAACTGTATTCTTCCACAGTATAAAGAATGCTGCAGGAAAATAATGACACCAGAAATAAATCAGATGCAAGCTAACCCTGTCACAGTTTCCCTCAAACATCTGCCTGAATATACTCATGTGTAAATGCATACATGCATGCACGAGTGTGCACACACATTATATGCTCATCAAGTGCAAAAACAAATCTTGTGGCATTACAAGTTATAAATTTTAAATAATAAGAATGTCATTTGAGATGAGCTTTGTCCAGATCTTTACTTTTTAAAAGTTCAAGGCAGGTTGTCAAAGTGATCTATCAACAACATTGAAGATGTTGCTTTGGTTAGGATTGAAAAACTTTAATTTGCAAAAGCATATATGTATACAGATATATATATATATATATGTCCCTGAATTGAAGCATCCTTATTCATCTGGCAGTCAATGAGAGTGGAATCCAGCCTTTAGATCAGACGGTGTGGTTTCAGCCTAAAGTTAAAATTAATTTTAGGA